ATAATTGCGAGATTCATCAAGAAACTTGTAGATAGATGCGATGTTGCAATTTTCATTCCTGCGACGTTGAATAAGGAGAAAGACACTTGCAGGCCCTTTCCGGTTCAATGATGTTTTGATGAATTGCACGAAAACATTAACGGATCATACCGAAACTTAATAGCCATATGGAGACGAGAAGAAGATAGAACTTTGTTGATTCGAAAAAAAATTGAATTTCGGTAAGCTTATGGCCACTAGGCGATTCACCGCCAATAAAAATGTAAAATGTAGCGTAGCGAAAAACGAAAACGTATTCATAGTAAAAAACATTCTGTTAATCCACGCTGACTTATACGCTAAAACTTTAATAAATTAGCTAATAAAGGTTTTTGTAAGGGTAAGTAATCATTTATCACATCTATCCGTGAAACATAGCAACCAATTATTACCTACGATTTTAAATTCAGCTTAACCTTTCAGTAAATGATAATAAGCGAATGATTAAAGAGAAAAGAACCAACCACCAGAACTTTTATTCACTAGTAATTGAAGCAAAACAATGTTCACTTGTTGAGTAAAGTTCAAGAAGTTACAAATAATAAGTTGTGATGTAATAAGGATGAATGCACGATTGTAAAGATTTTCCCGACTACAGAATACGATCACCAACAATATGTTGCCAACAATACCGTACAACAACAGTAGAGAAAACAGTACAGCTGCCACATATTTTTCCACCGTATTTCGTTCGTCTCTTATGTCGAACATATTCGTCATATTACCTTCGTGACAGTTTAAAGGTAATATTAGAAATAATGCACTAATAAAGCAAGAACGAGCCAACATTTTGCTTGTCGACAATCTCTTCCGACAACGTCCTATTTCGACTCACTTTAGTTATGATGTGATATGAGTTTTAATTAGTTAGAAATTTCAATGTTAGAAGTGTCAATGTTGCAAAGTGTTTTGTGCTATAATTGCATGACAAGAATTTCAGTCACCATGGAGAATGTGTTAATTTAATGAAAATATGAATATAAATGCGAAATTCTTATTTTTGTGCAGTATCCATCAAAGTTACTGAAAGCGTTTGCCATTTAAGGGAGTTTGCCATTTACATTTTAAATCTCAAAGAGGATAATTAGGCTTTATGAAAATTTGATTTTAATAGGAAACTTAAAATGGCTTAGTTCTGCAACTCTTGTGAGCCTAGAATTATTACTAAAAGGAAGAAAAGTGCTCGGGTTTCCGATGCATGGACTACTGTCTCTTTGGCTCACTATTATAAATAAGCAACTTTGCGTCTGATAGCATGTAACTTAGTCTTATTTAGATCGTGCTAATAATCGAATAATGAGTAAAATTAGACATGAACCTTTTACGAATGAAATAATAACAGATATTTCCAGGTAATGAAGACATAGCTTGCGTCAAATGTAAATGTCACTTCCACTTAATGCTATTTTCAGATTAACTTTTTTCAATGTTTCCTGAAATACAATGGATTTTTCTATTTCATCACATATGAATTATATTAATAATTGAAAAATGCGCACGCATCAGAAGTAAAAAATTATTAGAAATCAGAAATGGAAAAACTGTTTCGGAAAAAAATCGGAAATTTTTGAAACCGTGAAATGAAATCAAAATGAAACTTATGGAAGTGAAAACTTAAGTTAGTTCAAAGTACTAAAACAAAATACAGTGGTAAAGCATTCCAACTTGAGTACTTGGAGAATGCTAAATTAGAATACTGCAAAGAAATCGAATGGGAAATTAATTAAACTCCAGCCGCAGCTTCCAACGTAGTTGGAAATTCTAGAGAACAAATCCACAACTGCACAGTTGATTTTATCACAAATCGCTTGAAGGGAACTAAATAGATAGTGGGCAGTGAAGTACCACTGAGAATCATGTAAAAATGGTGATGGGAGTTTTGTCGTCATTAGATTGAAATTCTAGTAATAATGTTGGACAATTTACATTCACCAAAACATATTCCATCATTCCTCTTCCATCATTCCTCATTCCAAAATGGTAGAAAGTGTCACAATTTTGAAATTGAATAGCTTGAAGAATGTAACTTGTTATATTGTACAAAAATAGGACACAGTTATGCTAATCTACCTGTGCAATTGGGTGAACTTTCCTCTTAGGTACAGTATGTATGTACTATAGTAAACATTCTTTTCCTGATCATAATTTTTGATAACGATTCTACAATTGCTTGTTTCACGTTGTTACGAAATTGTTTGACGAAAATTAAATTGACAGTTGGTAGCATAGCACCAACGAAGATCATGTAGCAGTTGATGAAAATATTGATGGGAATTTCAATTTCTTTACAAAAAGCTTCGACAAGAAGTTGAGATAGACAAATTCAACTTCCATGACATCAGAAACGAACACTGCCTGAATAATTAACAACGATCGCTCATGTTTGCCCGCTTCTACCGTACTCTTCGCTTCACATCCTGAAGCATTCTTACAGCAGTTAAACTTAATTACTTTATTTGAGAATTAGATGAAAGACGAAAATAAAGAAAATTGAGATTATTTCGAAATTTCAAAGCTTCTGACATATGTTGGCTGAAAACTTCAAAAAAAAATTTGTCGCAGATGAGCACAATTTGTGTTTTTCTTTGACTGCATAACAAAAAAACCACTGTTACCCTTGTCTTTATGCAACTTCAAAACAGCCTTCCGTCTGTACCTTAAGTTGCAGAATATTGGAACATATACTGCAAACATCATTATAGGTAATGCTAATGTCCATGCATAGCGAAATCTGAAAAGAAATGGTCGAATAGCAGCAAGTGATGATGTTTACTGATGGATATTAAGCGCTCCAATAAAAGAAAAAAAAGATAAAAGGTGTACATCGAATCAGCATAACTGAATTTTAATTTCCATAACACATGCAATGGGCTTGAGAGTTTCCTTCAAAAAATAAAAGTTGAAATTCACAGACAACAAACTTCATAAAGATTCACTTTCTGGCGATCTTTTGGTAAGATTTACGAGGATTTGTTGATCATTCATTCTATTTTCCTTCCCAGTGTTGCGAAAATTTAGCTTTTTCCTTTCGTAACAAATAAAACTCTACTTCCTTGTTTCCTCTTTTGGAAGAAAGCTAGTTCCCCACGTTCAATCGACAGAAAGTGTTTTGTTGAGATTGAATTATCAATGGAAGCGATGAGGATTTGTTGATCATTTTGATGTAGCTGAATGTGAGAAAAACAGATAGTATTTAACTAAGTAGAAGTTAACGGGAATGGGACACAATCGTTATTTCAATCCTGAGGGATAGATTGAAATGAATTATTGGAGAATAAAACAGAAACTTAGCAAAATATGGTTGGATCTGTTGTGAAAAAATTATTTTTTTTTTTTATCGAGTCATTTAGATTTAGAAAAAAAAAAACTTTAATTAAAGGCTTACCTTCTGAAGACGTCGAATATACGTTGTGAGGACACAGAGTAAAATTTATCGCTTTATCGATATAATACAGGGTTGATCAGCAGGATTATTGAAGAATAACGAGTAGAAAATCGCTTGGCCGTGAGTCAAAAGCTGTTGTAAGAATACTATGGAAGAGCACTAGTCCAGACAAAACCTTTTTACAAAAGGATTATATATATAAAGAAGTAGGAGTGGTTTACATAAAACGTTAAAGGAGGGTATTCATTTAGATACAAAGGAAACTGTAAAAAATCCAATTACATAATAAGCACTGTAACAAGAACAGAGGGAAGATTAGCATGTAAATTGGACATCCTTTGTTATTAAAATAAGGATGTGAAATTTTGTTAGACAAAGATAACAAAAAGAAACGTATGGGAGATAATTTTAAAGAGTGTAAATTGGTGAATGAATGCAGTGATGAATCATTAGAAATATTTTAAGC